CACACACACATACACACACAGCAATTTCAATCTTTTAATCATTTTATTACTTCGGTGGAAGGTTTGTGTTTTGATTGTAAAATTCCATCAGCCCAGAGAACTACTACAATTAATCAGCGGTATCTCACTAATATGAATCAGGTCAGAGAGAATATTTTATTCTACTGAGTGAACATGGCAGATTTATTATAAAAGTGACATTTAACAGTTTGTTTGTTTCTGTATCTGTAACTGGATTTTCGATCAAAGTGCACTTTTACCATTTACAGTAAATTACAGCATGTTACTGTACATTTAAGTGAATGGAAACAGAAAAAAAATCATATTATGGTATTTAAAACGTAGCATTTTGTTTGCTGTTTTAATATACAGACAACAGAAACTTGAACTTATGTATGATCAGTTGAAAAATGTTGGTTTGAGGTTTGTGATTTTCCAGTATGACAACAATTCTCAAACTACTGAGAAAAGTCTTTTATAATACTGTTGGAACAATATTCAGTGTGACTTTTTATTTCTTTTTGTTTGTCTAGTTGCAATTATTATCTCAAAAATATTTGATTTCAGTAAAATATAGATCATGTTGTCAATCATTTTGCCAAATAAATAAACATATATTATACTGGGCACCATTCAATTTGCAGGAGACAATAAATTCATGATTGTTTTTTAGGGACTTACCTAAGGATACTGGACTGATGCATTAGTTCACACATGGTTGCTGTGAATTGACTGATTTAGATGTCAGAGAATCCCACTTCAGTTTCACTTTTTCAAAAATGAACATGACAGCTCTTACAATAAATGTTATCACAGCATTACATTAGTTTGACACTTATGATTGTCTTCAAACATGGTGAAAAGGTCTGATTTGAACTTACCACCTCTGTTGCAAAGATTTGGAGAAACAAGCACTCGTGCATGCTGCATTAGCCTACACATTTCCAAATAATTTATGCATTAATCATTTCAAACTATGACCAAAAGTAATTACAGAAAGAAGCCGCATGGAATGGCCAGTGCGGCTAACTTATTGCTTGAAGTTGAAAAAAAAAAAATAAACCTATAAGGTTCAGTAAAGTGCATCATGATCTGCTGTCAGTCAGCAGAATTTTAGCGCTTATGAAATGCTGTCTTTTGTACTTTTGATTATTGTTTCCCTAGAGTCATGGATTGAACACTTGCTGTCTTAAAGGTCCCATGTGTAATATTTAGGAGGGTCTGTTTAGGAGGGAAATGGAATATAATATTAATAGTTAGGTTTTCGTATTAGTGTATAATCACCTTAATAGGAATAGTTGTGTTTTTGTTACCTTATCTTTGAATGATGCAAAAAGGACCTCAGTCTTGTGGTGTCACACATTTCTTCTTTTTTTGCACTTGATTATATATTCATTCATTCAATCATTGGCTTTTATTATATATTGGAAAACGCAGGTTGATTTGAACTGTGTTGGCTCTTTATTTGTACATTTACTATCTTATCAAAAAGGACAATTCATGACGTCCTGACACAGTAAAACATCATCTCCCTTTTCCAGCTGGTGTGAGTGCAAATGGTGTCTGTTCACTTTCAGTCAGTAGCCAAAATGGACAAAACCTTGTGCTACGCTAATGTGTTTTACACCAACAGTTAGATGAACCCCATAAACCATTAATGTACAGTCAGAGCCACAAAATGACAGAAAATGTAGCCACCATATTTCCCGTCCACACTATTTACTATAACTGTATACAAGCTCTTTCTTCCATGTGACTAGCTACTTCAGATGCAAGGTAGTTAATGCTCCTATAAAAGTAACGTCAGTACTGGAAATAAATTATCATAAAGAACATTGTTGAATGGAACACTTTAAATATAGAAACATCTATTAGACAGCTATGTAGAGAAAAACAAGTAAAATCTAAATAACCATCCATTCTTTTAATAAAATGTTATCTTTTTTGGTTCCTTCGGTTGCAGCATTGTCTCAGTTGTGCAATCTGTGGCTCTGGGTGTGGTGCAAGACAAAGCCTGCCTCTGTTCAGTAGAGATTTATGGCTGTTTAACTTAACGGCTGATCACTTAACGTTAACGTTAACAGAGCAAAGGTCGGCAAATTGAAAAAATTGAACATCATACAGACACATTATTTTAAACCTTCAAGTAATTGTTCTTAAAGAATCTGTCACATATCAGGATTATTTTTCAGTGAGTGATGGCACAGAGACATCAGGCACATTTCCCTTTAATACAGGACATGATGAATCTCATTATCTCTAGTTAAGAACCAGGCATGTCTGAGATCTCGTGTGTTAGTACAGCAGGAGTTGGAACATGGTTAGCCTAGCTTAGCATAAAGATGGGAAGCAAGGGACAACAACTAGCCCAGCTCTGAAGTTCAGAAATATGCCTACCAGCAACACTAACTCATTAACTCAACTCTATATTATTTTGCTTCTTGTTTGCTGGATCCATAAATGAACAGAAATGTAAAAATAATGTTTTGTGATCTTAGGGGGGGTTTCTCTATGGATATCCTGGCACAGTGATCTTGTGCGGCTTGTTGTGAGGTTGCCAGTTTGCAACCATTGTACCTGTACAGAGATTAAAACCAAAACCAGTGCTCAGTGACTGAATCTGACAACCCACGCTGTTCTGTGTGGATGGATAAACTGTTGTTCAAAATAGTATTTCCACAAAATTTTAGTTTTTACATTTCTGATAATGTATGGATTAAACAAACAAGAGCTTTTGAGGTGTTGGTAGGAGTATTTAGTATTTAGTAACTTTGGACACAACCAGACTAGCTATTTCCCCTTGTTTCCAGTCTTTATGCTAAGCTAAGCTAACCACATCTTGACTCCAGCTCTGAGCTTACAGTAACACACAAACATGAGATTGATATCTATTGAGATCTCAGAAAGAAAACGAAGAAGTGCTTCTCCCAAAATATTGAACCATTCCTTTAGGTAGAGGCTAGTAGTAAAGACTACACTTATGCACTTTCAATTATGCTTTTATGTTTTGTTTTTTTAACACAAATTCCTGTCCATTTTAAGTCTATAAATGCATTCTAACATGATCATACAATGACACAAGTGATGTCAACAGCCACTCGGCCTCTAGTTTCCTGGGAATTGAATGTGCTATCTCAGCTTACCATGATAGCCATTTAATGTGTCAGTGAATGCAACTTAAAACTTTACAGTTGTACAAATAAATTAAAGCAGTAGTCATTAGTGTTACAGCAGAGAAAACAATGGAAACCAACTCCAAAAGCATAATATGTACATTAAATCTTCATTTGGTGCAATTGTGCTTTTAAACAGGCTGACTTCAAAATGCCCCATTGGGTTCCTTTTTTCTTCATCTTCTCTCTTCACCTTATCTGAATCACATCAAACAAACACACTGCCACAAACTAATATGTGCATACTTCTTGTCGCTATGGTTGAAAATCAAGCTGAGATCCTGGCATTTATCGCCAACATCTACTCCCTTTTCCTGTATAAATACAGCAGGGATTTTTTCATGTAATGAGGACTACCAAATGTACTGAAAGTTTTCCATTTAGACGTAACATAAGTTGTGGGAGGATGTGCCAAAAAACAGAAAATCAAACTACTGTATGGCTACATTTGTGGTATTTAAAGAAGAGAACAAAACATTTGACTATTTTCTGAATTATTTTCCATAGTCTGTGTTAAAATTTTAGGTTTTGGTAATAAATTCCAGTTCCCAGAGAAAAAGAGAAATTATTCCCACAAAGTTATCATGAAAAAACCTTTAAAACCAGTTTACACTGAAAAATGCAATAATAATTAGTGGCTTTGTGTGAAACCCTGATGATACCGATACCTGCAGTAAGTCTACTGTGGCTTTAAAATTTGTTTGAAAGTTTGCAGCAAGGTGAGAAGTTGAACCACTGGACATAAGCAAAAACAAACGTTTTAGTGTTAAGTCAATCTTTAAGGATTGTTAAGGAGTGTTCAGACTGAATGCAAGGCTTTTTGCGAGTGGACACTAACAGACATAAACTTGCTGTAGGTGGCACAAACTGAATAGAAGTGGCATCTATGAGTGAAAACGTTGTGCTAGTAACAAAGGCTGTATGACTGTATGGTATATTGGCTGTTTGGGGCGAATAAACATAGACCGTACAGTCTAGTGGTCAAAATCATGAAAATAAAACAAGACAAATGCTTGCTTGGTGCTAAATCTGAATGCATCTTCAGGCTGGCCCTGTGCTCCAAATGAATTTGGCAGGTTGGCACAGACAAAATGTTTGGCATGCAACAAGGTTTGTAATAATTGTCTTCCAAAACACTGCAAAACTTTGTCATGTAATAAACATTTGTCATGTGATTGGTATTGTTTTAGATAGACCCTTTGTACTGTGTGTTTTCACTTCCTGTTTTGAGGGGAAGTCTTGTCTGTTAATCAGAGTTATACAGTATAGTGAAACTCTTTAGCGTATTGGCTTTGTGACTTTGCAAGCGCCACCATGTAGATCACAGTAAGTATACAGCTATTTGCTTGCAGCAGCTTATTTGACAGCAGTTTGACAGCTTTGAAGATTGTCCATCTGGTGTTACACCATCTCTTCCCTCCGCTCCAGACCAGCAGGCTGGATGCTAGCTTTGGGACTACGGGGCTGGTTCAGTCCCAGTGCCTCCCCTCTGGCTTTAAGCAGTTGTTCTGGTCCCCAGTGCAGGCACAGGGGGCAGGGGCATGAGGCGGGATGGTGCATGATGCTGGTGGAGGGGTAGAGGGCTGCTGTGGTTGGAGGCAGCCCCCCTGGTCTGTTGTGGTAGTGGGAGAGGCGGAGGGCATCCAGGGTCCTCATGGGCGCGCTGTAGCGACTGTGAGCTGAGGATGGCGAAGAGAGAGCCAGGGGGTAGTGGTGGTGAAGGGGGAGGTGCGGGAGGTGGGGAGAGATGAAAGGGTACGGCAAGGCGGAGGAAGGAGAGGCGCGGCCCATCAGCAGCGCCCCCAGTGGGTCGACGAGAGGGTGAGGCCACGGCAAGGAGTGTCTCTGCCGTTTGTCCTTCATCCTCCTGTTCTGGAACCACACCTGGAAAGAGGGAAGTAGGGAAGGAACGAAGGAGGAAGGAAGGAGGGAAGGAACAAAGGAGCAGGATTAGGAAAGAATGAAGATACAAAGGCGCCAAAGTTGATGGCCTGCTCAGCAATAGCAGTCAGCAGTTCAGACATACCTTTACTGTTCACCAGTAGGGGAAATTTAATAATTTAGTTGCAGCAGCAATAGTGGCTGTGACATGAACCAAATATTTTTAGATTCAGATTTACACTATCTGATGTCCATTACCAATACGTCAGTATATCCACTCACAAACCCTAACCCTAAAATGCTCCTTATAACTACAAAACTTGCCTGAGAATCATCATGTTTTTAAGTTTTTTTCACATTAAAAGTAATCCAGTGATAGTTGTGTATCCATTCTATCCAAATTATGGGAACTGTATAGTTCTAAAACTTAAAGCACGATTATACAACAAAATCTAAAAATTATTTTTGGGGGTTGCAGTTGTCTCCATTTTGTCTGAGGGGGGCCAACAGTGTCAGAGATTTTGAAAACCCCTAGTGCAGCGTGACACAATGTATCAGGGAGGATGGATTGGTGTGCTAAGTGTTAGACTAACTCTAGCTTCAAGTTTCCTACCATTTCCTTTCAACGTGATATCAATCTTTCCACAAAACTATCCAGATAGTTTTAGATGACTAACATTTATAAAATATTAACAATGGTGGCAGATCTGATCATGACTATATGAATCACATTTGAAATTGTAGTTCCTTTTTGAAGGCACTGACATATGAGCAATTAGTATTTCGTAATTAAGCCAAGAGATAAACAGTTACATTTACATTGATAATAATACATTTAGCAGTAAGATATTGTCATGTCTTTATTCTGAGTAATTCTAACTCTAACTTCCACAAGACTGTGGACTTATTGACCAGACTGTGCGCTAACAGGCTGGTTGTTATGTTATATTTTTTTAATATTATATTTTTTATATTATTAAGATTCAAATATACTGAGTGAGATTTAGACCATTTATTTGTTGAAAATTGTGATATGAGTAAATTAAGACCAATAAAACAGTCACAATGTTGGAAATTTGATCAATTTGGTTCATTATCAAAATCCATTCTCAGTGGATGTGCACTGGTGGCTTCAGGACCAGGACTGACTTCCAGACTATTCGTGATGTAGGGTAGGCCCCGCCCCTTAAAATCAGGGAACACAGAGAAACTTTCCACTTCCAGCAGATGAGTGTGAAAACATCCTTCTACTGTCAAACTCTGCACATACAGCATTCTGCACAGTGAAGATCAAACAGCGCACTGTAGGAACAAGACATATTTTTGAATGGAGGGGGACTTTAAATATTTGAATTGCATGCTCTCCAGATTACATACCATGTTTCATTTCATTTTCTCTAGTTAACTCCTGCTTTTCTCTGCTGCAGCACTTACTTCTTAAAGCTTTAAAGTAGAGACGGACCAGTTGCCTGTGTGTTTGTCTGTGCAGTCCTCAACTATTTTACCAGCTCATAGAATCTCCCGGAAGGCTGTGCTTCTAAAACGTCAGGTGGCAGCGTTTACAAGGCCTCGCCTCGCATTCCTGCTCTTTCATAAAAGACCCTCCAGTAGCTGGCAAAAAGGTGGGCGCATTTACTGCGTATTAAAGCGGCTGCACTGGGCCAGTGGGCCTCTGCGTCAAATGTTAGACACTGCTAAACCTGTCACTACTCAATCTGACATGTTGATTGAAATGACAAGTAAGAGGAGAGATGATGAAAACCTCACATTAATGGGAAATGTTGTTGTTTGGGTGAGTAGCTGTCTCAGAATTTTTGCTTCTTGTTCTGACCTGCTTGGCTTTATTTTTTGGGCTGTGTCTAAGACAAGAGACATAAAGCCTGTAAATCAGTGAAGGAATTAGGCGAGGATTGTTCTGAGACCTAGATGAGAATCGATATCGCTGAAGTGTGGTAGGTATGGAGCTGGAGGGCAATTAGCTTAGCTTAGCATAAAGACTGGAAGCAGGGGTGAACAGCTAGCTTCTCTCTGTCCAAAGCTCCAAAATATACCTACACCTCTGAAACTCAATGCTAACGTTGAATATTGTTTATTTAATCCAGACAGAAATATAAAAATGATCCTTTATGTTTTTAGCCAGAGATTCTTCACTGAAGTTCCAGCACACAACTTCCTCAAAAAAACACAACTTATATGAGAAACCAGATACAACATGTTAAAGAAATTGACATGCATTATTTACTTTTTGCAACAAGTTAGATGAGGCCATAAATACCACTCTCATATCTGCACAGTAGAGGTGTAGCTGGAGCCAGCAGCCGGTTAGCTTAGCTTAGCACAAAGACTGGCTCTGTCCAAAAGAAACGAAATCTGTCCACCAACACCTCAGGCTCTCAGCTCTCAAGCTCACTAATAAATATTTTACTTGTTTTCTTTGCTTAATCTGTATAAAAACGACAATTTGCTGTTTTACAGGACAGTTTTCTAGCCGGGACCACTTGTCAAGAAAATAGAAAAGACTCAAGAGCTTTTTCTTAAACCCTATGTCTCTCTGGTTTGTGGGCTCCTTCCACCTTTGTCTCCAAACTGGATGTCAGTTTTTAATAGAAATTTTACCTGGACAACAATATGGAAAATGACTCGACACCATGCACATGGACAGTCCAACCTTTCATTGCATCACCACAGCTACACCCACTTAAGGTGCTCATTATTTTCAACGTGAATGTGACGGCCATTGGCAGCGGCAAGAAGCAGGACAGTTGCCGCTCTTGTGAATGTGTGTTTCATTTGCTGCTGCTGTTGGAATTTACAGGAACTAGAGATGGAAACGATACAGGAGCTGGTTTTACTGGTAGGCTTGTTGGAGCTACCTGGATTATACACCTCTTCACCAGCAGAGAACACACAGATCAATGATGAAGATCAGCATTGCAGCATCGTCTACAGTCAAAGTCAAAGTTTGAGTGTCCCGTCTAGGACATTAACCAACATTTATTATACTAGTTAGCAAAACTTATGTCATGTCATTTAATCTTTTCCTGTATTTTAAGGTCCCCCTCCACTCAGAAATCAGTTGTTCCTACAGTGTGCTGTTTGATCTTCCCTGTGCAGAATGCTGTATGTGCAGATTTGACACTAAAGGATGTTTTACATTCATCTAGACTGAAAGTTGAACAATTTCTCTGTGCCCGCTGAGATCTGATTTTTAGGGCGGCGGCCTACAGCATGATTTGTTAATCACACAAATATTATAGGAAGTCAGTTCCTGGTCCACATATGCAACTGTACAGTGTGAAGGTAGAAAATGTGAAAAAGCACCACCAGTGCCACACTACCACTGAGAATGGATTTAACAGTGAGTCAGGAGACATCTTGTGTCCAGCAGGAAAACTTTAAAAATGAACAACATTCCTAATGTGGAAATTATACTTTTTCTTTGCAAGAAAAAAAAAAAAAATCAGACACACGTTATTGTTCTAAACTAAAAATGTTGTTTAAGCTACAACCTGCTCTATTGAGACGTTTGATGAAACTTGTGGGGACCCTTGGCCCAAAAATTAGCTGCTAGATATCCTCAGTTTTTCTTTTCAGCCAAGAACCCCTTACAATATAAAGAATATACCAGGACTGTCTTGTGCGCCTTAATTAGAATAATTTGATGTAGCCTATTTTTTTACACTGATATAGTCTCATGCGAAAGAACAGCAAAAGAGAAATGTATATGAAAAAGATTTTAGACATATATTAAAAATATTTGCACCATTTCAACACAGAATACCCATGATGCATGCTTGACGGGAGTGAAGATGCTCAGAGTTGTAGATTTGTCAGATTAGAACATAATAAATGAACTATTTTAGATTTAAAAAATTCAATATTTGTCCTTTAACTATGAAGTTTTTTGTGAAAAGGATTTAATGTATACATATATTTAGGTCTATATCTGACACAGACCCACTTTAATCAGCCGATTAGGGGGTCAATAGGGGCCCCAATAGTTCCTCCCACTCTCTGTGCAGGAGTATACTGTTGTTGATGTACTGTGTGTGGTCAGATGCAAACTTCTCCATAAGATCCATTCATAAATATGATTTTGCCCTCATAATATAATGTCACCGGCCCTCCAGCCCTCTGTCTGCAGTGCTGGTTAACCACAGTACCTTTATCGTTGTCTCCGGTAGGTTGAGCGCCGTGGCCAGCTCGCAGCGCCGAGGTCTGGACACGTAGCTCTCCTTGCCGTACTCCTGCTCCAACCGGGACAGCTGCTCGCGCGTGAACGCTGTCCGGTGCCGCCGGCTCTGGTCGAGCAGGGCGCTGCGCGGGCACGGCTCCGTCTGCTCCTCTCCGCCGGGACCGTGCATGACGGCCGGCACCGGAGTCTGTCTGCCCTCTGACACTGAAAGGACGCATATGGAGGGAGCTTAGACACGTGGGGCAGTTCTCCATAAGGCCTCATATAAAGTTCTGTAAGCTGTATGACTATTATAAACACATTATAAATGCAGTATTGACACAAAGTTGATCAAGTTCAAATGTCTACAGGCCTAAAGATTGAGCCTTTACTTCTTAAGCCAAATGTTGCCTTTCAACAGCTCAAACTTAGCATTGTTCTGTTGTTACTTTTCCTGATTTGTTGAGAATTGCTTGTATTTTGTACCGATGACATGTTTGATATATTACAGTAAAAGACTCATCATCCGTGTTCGCAGTCTCAGAGACTCCAGCTGTGGTTAAATCCAATAGATTTTCCTAATATCTGTGACTGGTGTTGACATAAATCCCCAAATTCCCAAAAAGGTTATGAAGACTTTTATAACAGTTTGTACATAGGCGCTCTAACAAGGATTTGTGACATATTGTGGGCAACATTACTATTTTTAATTTTTTTTTAATTTTTTTTACCTGTGAGTAACTTTGTGTCAAATGAAAATAACATATATATTTGTTCATGTATGTATTCATGTATATGGTTATAACTAATAAAACATGAAATCGTTCTGTATTTTCTGTATTAATAATGATTTATTTCTATATTTTGTCACCTTCATAAACTGTGGCACAGAGAGGAGTTAGGGTACTACTTCACTACTCTTCTACATAATGGGGTTTAATGAGGACAGAAAAAAAGAAAAAAGCACTTAAGTGAAAAATGTAGTTGATTTTGAAGTTCTTATTTACACATACAGCAGTGGGGAAGCAATGCGGAAGTAAAGCCAATGTCACAAAACACAAGGGTTAATCATATGGACATTTTGTATTTAGGCCAGTGTATTTACTTTTTATGATAAGAAAATAAAATTGTCTGTAAGATAAACGCAAACAGTGATCTCAGATGTTATTTCTGCTTCTGTTTGTTAACTTTTGGGCAGCACTTGACAAAAGAAGCAAGAAATAAGTTAATCCTCGGGTCTCAGTGATAAACAAAGTTTGCTCTAGAGCCTCCTTTTACATTTACTTACGCATCAGGCTGTTTCTGTGTAAATCCCCTCCTTTGTGTTTCTTTTTCTCGGCAGTCGAATATCCCTCCACTGCAAGCTGCTCCGCTCCGCTTCAGAAAGGCCGGGGAAGATGCTGCAGTCTGATAAAAACTTCTCTCCTTGTCATTCTCTCTCTCTCATACACACACACACACACACACAGTTCATCCAGGTCTGCTCAGACAGTCAGGGGCAAGATGAGGTGTTTTTGTCCCAACACCACCCCCTACTCCTCCTCCTCCTCCTCCACTACTGTCTCTGTGTTCCCCGGGGCTGCTGTCCTCTCCTCCTCTGCCTCTATCACAGACGCTCCAGACGGGCCGTGGTGTGTGCGCGTCGGCCCGGCGCGGCGCCGCGGCCCGGAGAGGTGTTAAAGGTGTTTAGGGATAAAGCCTTTGGTCTCCGTCTCGGCCTTTGTACTTTTGTTATGGAGAATTAAAGACGCGCAGGCAGAGACAGCAGCCAGACCCTCATTGTTCTCCGCCGTTTGATCTTTGGAAGTAAATCATTGCAGGCCTAATGGCTCCAAATTGGCCGAAGTGGAGCACGGTGGAGGGGAATTATTAATTAAGATAATATTATGGATATAGTTGTCGGTATTATGGTAAATACGCATTTTCATTAATTTATGTTTCATATAAACCAAGGTTATTAAAATAAGTTTCTTATTTCATTCTCAATATTTTTGGTCCATTTTGAATATCCTATTTTATTGATCATGTTCTGTATCACTGTATACGAATATTATGGGTTCATATTATATATTTTCGCGCATTTTTGAAACCTATTCATCTTAAAACATTAATTTAAAAATATATATTAAAAATAAATGTTGTATATAAATGAAGTAGGCTAAAGTATAGAGTATTATATTTTCAAATAAATCTTTTAGAACCCTTGCAATAAAACAATATCGGTTTGGATGATTTCACCCGGTGATTTGAAGAAATATTCTCTTTCTGTGTTGATCGGGCGTGTAAATAATAAGCAGTTATGACAATAACTCGACTCGACAGAGCAGATTAATTGAGCTTTATATAATAACAGTGCAGTGTCAATCAAAACGCGATCCTTTAAGTGTATAGCCTCGCCTCTGGTGTAGAAGCTGACCCTTGAACCTGTGTTTTGGAGCTTATTATGGCTATAATCTGCTGCTGATTGTTAATCCAGCGGCCAGATGATGATAAAGAGGACAGGCGGAGGACAGAGACAGACAGACGCCAGGTAGGGTGGAGTCACTACTACATGCAGGAAATTTATCATTATAAAAAAACACTCAGGTGCTATAAAAGAATCACATACAGCCATTTGCGAGCTGTCATCAATGATATTTCTAATGTTTGAAGAGTTACACACTGCTCCTCTCTAGCTTTTTAAATAGTTTGCTCTGTTGTTTTATGACTACTTATGTGTGGTTTCCTTGGAAACCTATTTTAACCTTAATGTTGACATTACTTCTTTACTGTTTGGAGTCCTACACACCCCACTGCTGCAGATATATTAATAAATATTAATCAGAATATTTTTTTTTTGTCAAAAAAACATTTTTTACTTTCATCTCAGCTTATTTAAACCCAATGTGTAGAGAAGTAATTCTTCCTTTCAACATAAACTGGGCAGCATGTTTAAAGGTGACAAAATGTGACCAATTATGAAATAAATAAATAATAAAATATAAATATGGAATTATCATTATCAAAGAAATGTATATTACTCTAGAGTCAGTTAGAGCCCAGAAAGGTAGCGCTCCTTGTTATTTAAAGCCTAAAATAATTCAAGATAACCTTATTTTGGATTTGGTAGGAGTACTGTTGAGTAATAAGTCAGCACCAATATATTGCAGATGAAAATTCCTTGTATTTAATGATATTTTACAGCTGAAGTTTCTGAGACCCCAAACCAAAGCAATGAGTCATTTTCTACAGCTGACTTTGAAACATCAGCTTAAAATCATGATTAAAAAACAATTATCATAAAATCAGAAACATTATGAAGTGTCAACATGATAAAACAATGTTAATGTTTTTGTACAGTTTCCAATAAGCAGCAGAATGATGATTAAAGTGTTAGTATTTAGTGGCATCTAGCGGTGTAGTTGCAGATTGCAATTCCCTTGATTCACCCTCCCTTCCCTTTGTAGAAACTACAGTGACCATGACATGCATGAACAATGCAAACAGCCCTATCTACAGCTGGTATTTGGTTTGCCCATTCTGGGTTACTGTAGAAACATTGGCAGTTCAACATGGCGGACTTCATGGAAGGTGAACTGCAGCATTTGTAAATAAAAACAGCTCATTCAAAGGTAACAAAAAGACAACAATTTTTATATTCAGCTGATTAAACACTA